TTTAGTGTAACAAGGGTTAAGCATTACTGAAATGGAGGTGCTGCATGAATTTTTTTCTTCTTTCAGTTTTAATTGTTTTCTTTTTTTTTTTTTTTCAGGGGGGGGGGGGTCCCAAGGGGAGTTTGTGTGTGTGTACTTATTCTGTCTGATTTACATCTGTATTGGTTTTAAACAACTTATATTGATGATTTGCCTACTTTAGGCTTGTGTTCTATGTGGTTATGGTGATGGGGCCATGACTCGTGCATTTGGAAGCCGCAATGTGGTGAAAAGTCTGTTGAAAGCATGGGATATTAGAACAGAACCTCATATTATGAGTGTGGGTTCAACTGAAGCCTTGTATGGTATGTCTGTTCCCTTTAGTACCATTATAACAATGTCTACTAAAAACCTGTATTGTATGCATTGTGTTGAGTATTAATATTAGTAATAATTTCACAGTTCCAGCAAAAATGGAGTGCCTGAAAAATTTGGAAAGTGCAACTTGTCATCCCTGCCCTTCCATAAAACCAGTAGTGCATAACAGCATAATATCAGGATTGTTTGATCCAACTGTCAAGCAGTGGGTCCATATGGTGTGTGGATTATGGACTCCAGGAACAAGATGTCCTAATGTGGATACCATGAGTGCCTTTGATGTTTCAGGTGTTTCCAACCTTAAAGAATACATGGTAAGCACTCTGTTCTGTAGATGGAACATTACTTTGCTTCATCTCTGCTTTTTTCATGATCAAAATTCTAAGTCTCAAACATATGACAGAACAATATATCCAAAATGTGACTGTTCCCCCCCCCCCACCCCCCTTCATTCTTCCCATATTTTCATATGTTAATTTCCTTGTTCTAGGTATGCTATATATGCAAGCGCGTTGGTGGGTCGTGCATACGATGTTATGTTGAGACATGTTGTACTTACTTTCATCCATGGTGTGCTCATCAGAAGGTAATCCTATGCTTATATGGTGCTCCCAGATAAGTCAATTGATGAACCCTTTTCTTTATGGGTAATAATTGTAAAACTCAAACAGACTTCAATCAATAAGTTAATGTCTTCGTTTGCATTTTACAAGATCAATCACCCCAATAGGATCCTCTTATATTGGGCATCCACATTTCCCTCTCTTGAATATAGAATTAAGCTTGGCTACCTTGTGGGCATTTACATTTTCCTCGCTTATGAGTTATGACATGGAAATATGAGTAAGTTCGCTAGAATTTAAACAATTCAATTTTATAATTTCTAAGGGATTAGAGTTCATTGATTAAACTATTATTACATTAAATATAGTTTTCTAGTTTCTACCTTTCAGTTTCAATTCTTGCTGGTTTTGGCTTTAAGAAGTTTTATTTAATACAAAGCTTGTCATCATTCAATTTCTGCTTTAAGAATAAAATAAAATGGGAAGGATAAAGAACTAGTCAAGGTGATCATCTGCGAAATTGTCTTTTATGGCTAGTAGTGATAGCCACTTGATTCTAGGATTGTTTTCTTGAGGTGAGGAAGGTGTTGCAGTTTTTACAGAAAATAATCTGCTTAAAGAACCAAAACCAACTCTCTGCATGATCATCAACCTATCATTATTATATTGGTGATATAGAAGTTCTCAGGGCATGAGATGGAGGCCAGATGTGGTTTGGATGCTACTTTCATAGTTTCATATCATTGATAATTTGTTCCTTCTTGCTCACTGAAGAGAAAAAAAAAAATTAATATTGGAAAGAAAGTTTCTGATGATAATCAATTATGGCATCTCAAAGTATCTTACCTTGTTGCTTGCAGGGTCTGCTGCAAAGTGAGGTAGAAGGAGTTGACAGGGATCAGATTGGTTTTTATGGAAGATGCTTGTTTCATGCAGATTCCAGAACTTGTCATTTAGAGAATGATATTGATACTAACAAGGAAAATTCTGAAACTGGTCAAGAAGAAGAGCCAACTTGCGCCAGAACAGAGGTACAAGTGTTGTTAATTCTTGGCACTTTATGGTGCAGAATATTTTAGAAAGCTTATGATGTAATTGCCTCTCAACTAGGGATATAAAGGGAAAATCCAGGGAGATGGAGGGCATTATTCTTCTTATCAGCATAGGGGTAAAGGTGGGTGCCTTGTCACTCAGGTGCAAGTAGACGCTTGGCTTTACATCAATAGACACAAGCTGAGCAGGAATAAGCTGCCTAAACCTTCAGTTTCAGATATAGACCATGATTATCGGGTATGTAAAGAGTTAAACATAATCTCTTTCTTTGTAAATGCGGGATGGATATCAAACATATTTCACGATATCATTTTTCCTCCAGCAAAGTAGCAATTAAATTTGGGGAATTCAACAACTGACACTGAAATGCTTAAGTGATTATTGCTTCCTCTAGCAATTATCTTGGGGAATTCAACAACTGACACAGAAATGCTTAAGTGATTATCACAATTGTCTTTGTATATGTCTTTAATTCCTTCCTCAAAGGGTTGGATTGTCATTGCATTAAGTGATGAAAATCAACTAATACATGCATAACATCTTTGCAGAAAGAATATGCTCGATACAAACAAGCAAAGTGCTGGAAACATTTGGTAGTGTATAAATCTGGTATCCATGCTCTTGGTCTGTACACGTCTCAGTTTTTTCAGCGTGGTGCTATGGTAGGGTCCTTTATCCTTGACATATATATGTATATGTTCTTGATGTGAATCTTATTGCAGGATAAGACATGACTTTTGTACTATGGTCTGGTATTAATTAATTGACTTTTGTATCTGCTGAAAATGGCCGAGTTTACTTTTCATATATTGAGCAGCTATATCTGCTGAACTCTATGTTTTACGGTTTTACTCTATTACAGAGTTTAGACTTGTTGGCTTCTTTTACTGGTATGTGACTCTTTTTACATCGGCATCTCTTAGGTTGTTGAATATGTTGGTGAGATAGTGGGGTACCGTGTTGCTGATAAACGAGAGACTGAGTATCTGTCAGGAAGAAAGCTTCAGTACAAGAGTGCATGTTACTTTTTCAGAATAGACAAGGAACAGATTATTGATGCTACCTGCAAAGGTGGAATAGCTCGGTTTGTCAACCATTCATGCCAGGTAATATGCTGTTTTGGATACTATTGCTTGCCTAAATGTTCCTCCCCATGGAAAGAAAAAATAGAAAGTTTCTTTTGTACATGCTTTCTTTTTGGGGGTGGTGATGTTTCTTCTCAGTGATCTACTGATCTTTTAACTTAATTAACCTCCTTATCATTCCATATATATATGCACTTTTGTGCTGACTGCTTTTGTCCATGTCATTTTCTGTGACCAGCCAAACTGTGTTGCCAAAGTGTTGACTGTCAGGGGTGAAAAGAAGGTAATGGAACAGATTTCTTTTTTATGCTATGTTGCTTTGCTTCATCAAATATTCATGAGATTGCTTACTTGATTTAAATAGTTATGCGTTTCCCGAAATATATACATGCTGAATCTGCAGCGATGAGGATGAATGATAACAAGTCAACATAACGAATTTGAGAAACCATTCTTTTTATTTGTTACATTATAAGATGATCAGAGATTTCTCTCTTCGCATGTTATTGAAATGGCACAATCAGTAACATCCCTTTCTATCTGGAGGATGACCCTGTTAATCTTCTAGCTAAGTTAAATGCAGATATTCTGAGATGCTTTATATTTGCACTTACAGGTTGTGTTTTTGGCTCAAAGAGATATTTATCCTGGGGAGGAAATCACTTACGATTATCATTTCAATCGTGAGGATGAAGGTAAGAAAATTCCCTGCTTTTGCAATTCGAAAAACTGCAGGCGTTATTTGAACTAGACAAAGCCGTAAATTCAATGGGCAACAATGTATATTTCCAGTTATCAAAATCTTGTCTGTCATACGAATTGCAATGTCAAAATCTTGATGTAATTACAAGGGTGATGACACCTTGTGTTAATATGGTTGTAAATTTTCATGATATACTAGTTAATGTTATCGCCAATCTGACATCTGAGTTGGGACAGTGTTCTAACGAGAATTTGACATATTTGATAACATCCAAGTAATTGATAAGTCAAAGTCCTGAAACAGATCAATCCAGGAAGAACTAGATTGTAGATCTGATCTATATTGCTTGGATAGGTCTACCCAAGCATTGGTCAGTTTATTGATCAGTTGAACCAGAAGGTCCTGAATCTAAGTCATGTTCTGTGAGCTGCTGAACCGGCATGGCCTGGTGCACTCTGGCCTTTCTCTTAGTTGTTCATTGTACCTGTGGATTCCTGATCCTATTCCCACTGTTTTGGAGCCAAAGCTTCTATCATTGGTTGATATTTTTTTTACATAGATCATGCTGAGAAGGGCTTTCAACAGAATTACCATAGTGGAAGATTTACTAGGATCTTATTTCATTTTTGACGCTCCGATAATCATAACTAAGCCATGATCACTGTTTGACTGCAATGTCTATAGAAGAAAAGCGAACTCTGCATTCAAAGGAGTTTTCATTGAACTCAAGGAGAATTTGTGAGCAAGAGTTAGCATTCAATTTGCAAAGATACTGCTAAAAAAAAGGGATCCATCAGGGACAAGCTTGATTATACGAGTACTCACTGTACTTCATTGTAGTTAGATGTTCCACACATTATAATTAAAATATACGAGTAACAAAATTAGTGAAAATTTAAACGTTTCAAACTTTTGTTCTATTCACCCCAAAATTTCAAGTTTTGGCAAACTTTTTTCTTACACCTTAAAAGCGAGCACAAAGTTCGTCAACTTTGCTCCTCAAAAAAAAAAAAAAAAAAAAAAAAAAAAAAAAAAAAAGTTCATCAAATTTAGATCTTTTCTTTGTTGACAGACAGCAGTTGTCTATCAAGTTTAATTATGAACCAAATATGATTCATAATTTGCGGTGAAATGTCAGGCATAGCCTTAACATGCACTTGGGACAATGTACTCTCACTAGTTTGTGGTAGATCAGTCAAAATTGAAATTCGGATAGTAACATTTAAACAAAGATGACGATTGAAGAGAGAATAAATGGGGTTGATTCCCGTAAACTTGCACAGAAATTTGCTATATTAACAAAACTTTTCTGAGGAATTTCAGCTTTTTACAACTCACCTATGCACTATTATCTAAGGTGCAATATATTTTGTACTTCGGCAATACGAAAATATGGGGTGGCACCGTGGAAGTGATCGAAAGGAATGGAAACAAAGAAACCTTTACTATCAAGGATGATCTATGATTTTGTATAGTTGGATCTATCTTGCATCAACAAAGCCACATTACCGAAAGCAATACAACATTATCACAGTATTGTAATCCATCACGTCTTATTATGACTACCAGTTTGGTATGTTTGATGTTGCCTCGTTCACCATTTTAACAAGAGTCACCTGTAATAGAAAAACAACACTTAAGAATACCACCACAGGTAGATTTAAACGTTAAGAAGCTGATCATTTCCAAGTCTACTGCGTAGTTGAAGGTCTAAATGGAAATTTTAACAACAAAATGCGGCTTGGACACTTCCTGAGTACGTGCTAGTTACAAGTCCTATCAACTTGTCATTAATGTAAGTTAAGAACTTTCTAGCAGATTACTATCAAATAGAAGGTGAAGTCTTCTGCTCTCTACTGGGTAAGTATTTTTTCTCTATGCACAGCAGAATAAATTTCTTAGTCACAAAATAAACTTCAAAAGGAATGGCTAATTTGATTTGAATTGCAATGATGACATTACAGAAATTACAGAAATTATACATAGCCCTTTTAACTTTCCGTGTTAAAAATCACCTAATAACCTCCATCTGGTAATAAATAAATGTGACTAATGTTTTCTACTGCCTGCCTTCTCTTTATAATCTAATTCTAGCACTAGCTTCCTATTATTAGTCCAGAGACGGTTTTCCTTCTGTTACAATCATAATTTTTGTTCTTACAGATATAACCTTTAAGAGTTCCAAACATAGTCACATTTCCTTGCCCAGTATCTAATTAATAAGTCAAGACACGAAACTTGATACACTAAACCAGTTTTAACGAAGCCTCAAGAGACAAATACATGGCTCCGATGCACGAATTCATTAGTTCAAGAAGAGTGGCTTGCAAAAGGAAGGCAGCCATAAGGGTGCAGCCAAATGAAAACAATTGCAATGCTACAAATTGAGGAAAACATACCACACTTTCAGGAACACCAGGTGGTGGCAGCGTCAAGTTTCTTGGAGGTTTAACCTTGTCATAGGATCTCTTGTCAAATCGCCATTCTCCAATCTTTCCATATGTTAGCTTGCCCTGCATTTTAGTATCTAAAAATTTCAAAGGCAATTCAAGAATGCTTTTGAGATATGACAAAAGGCATGCACACAAGTGAAGACATGCAAATAGTGGGAAGCAGACAACTTAGGGGAGGAAGGGATAGGGGTACATACCTTCATATCATAGTCACAACCGTAAGTGTAATGTATGATATACTTTTCTCCCATTTCTGTGTCCCATGGAGGCTGCATCACAACAGAAAATAATAAGTGTAATGATTTCCATAGATTTTTTTCTTATAAAGGAAACACCATAATGATTTAATCAAAATACATAATCAACTTCATCATCCTAAATGAGAGCACATTCTCATTGCCAGTAAGCTTTTGTCTTGTCAAAAATAGAGACAAAAATAGATATGTGCAAATCAGTAATTTGAAGATTTGAACCAAACCTCAAAATTCTGCTTACACGTTAAACAAGAAGCTAGATTAGTTCTAATAAGGAAATCATTAATTTGAAGTAAGCCCATAATAATCCAATGCCCAAAAGTAGTGAATATGTCGGCTCCATAAAAAAATGAACTGCAATGATGGACTCTAATTTAATCAAAGGGGTATATAAACCTTGAATAATAAGGTTGATATAGGCTGATAAGGGGTCATCATCAAAACAAATATGTAACTTCAGAAGCAAACAGTGAATGAAAATCAGAAACTCTATGGTCTGATTAAGAAGCATTATACTTCATACATTTCTTGAAAGTTAGAGTCTGGAAGAAATGTAGAATCTGACTGCCCTTGCCAGTGATAAAATGCATACCAGTGAATGGTGCTTAAACATATTCAATGAAACACTCGAGCTTCATTGAGATATTATGTGATATTTCAACCAAAAATTTTTGTATATCATAACATGTAATCATGTATTATAATCTCTCAAGCAAGTAGTGTTGTAAGTGAGCAAAACATGGGGAAAGATGGACAAAAATTAGATAAAAGCTATACAAAATTAAAAGAAAAGATATAAAGGTTAAAGCAATAGACTAAACCTGAATCATGAAATCCTTGTACAAGATGTTCTTTACACCATGCAGGGCAGACGCGACAGCATAGGCATACCTGCAGAATCACAGGGAGTGAGGTTGCAAGACATGCTTTATTATAGATATATAGTAAAGAAATTTATCAACCTACTTTGAAGAAGCTTACATCTCAAGAACCCAACCAAATGCTTTGTCCGTTTCAGGATCCTTCTTCATTCCCAATGAAACATTCATCCATTTGGGAGCTATCTTCTTTAGAGATTCCTGTAAAGAATAGCAAGAGCCAAAAGAAGAGGATGATACTGATTACAATTATATAGACACATATTTATTGTAACAAAATGAAAAGAGCTAGTTACCTTTGCAATAATTACAGGAGAATTTCCAATGGGATCAATTTGTGTTATTGGCCCCTTGTTCTCAGGAAAAAACTTCCGGAGTGCAGCCTCATACTTCTTAGGTTCAATATAAAAGAATGGAAATGCAGCTCCATATCCATCACGAGATAGATTAGGTATAGGCTTCACAATAATGTGATCTGGCTCTGCCATTAGTATGTAACTGCATTACAATGAGAAACTGCTAATTAATTAGAGAAAAAAATGATAACTGAATTCCCCCCACTCCAAAAAAAAAAAAAAAAAAAAAAAAAAAAAAAGAAAAAAACTTAAAAAAACAAAACTTTTTTGTTCTTCATTGGGAGGGGAAGATCAAGGGAAGTGAAAGGACCGAGGAATTTATAATTATCAGATTTCATACTCTTCTTTGATGTCTGCTTGTTCAAGCCATTGTACAAATGCCCAAGGTCTGTTAAGAACAATGTAGCCCTACAAGTTCAAAAGGAGGACATAAACAAGGACAAATGAGATTGGTAAGACTGCCAAAGCCAGAATTTCAAGTACAAAATGAGCAGTTTTACACATCACACAAGATTGACAAACAAATTAAGCAAAAAAAAAAAAAAAGTTCTTAGCAGGTGTGCATGGGCTTTCACACCACATAAAGAAGAATGACTTCCTCTTTTTTATCATTCAGTTCGATTACATGTCAATAATGGGGCTCCTCAGCTCAAACTTCTCACAGGCAACCATTACCTAGTTACTTGAATGCATGTGCTTTCATATTCCAAACTAACATCAAACCAGCTTATTGAATTGAACATAAGAAGCATTCACTGCACCTGCATTTAGATAGCATCACCATAATTATTCAAGCCTACAGTCACAATTTACTGGGATACAGCTACATGCACAATTGCACATCTTCCAGTATTTTCACATACAAAGTAGCATCTTATACAGACATGAACTGCCTAAACCAGTATCAACTTAGGTTTTGACTTCCTAAAAAACCTTCAGAAAAATAGGTGAACAACTATCTACACAGCCATCCAAGTAGACTATACCGATTTCTACACAAACTCAACTTCAATAACTTCAGACTCTCACACTGATCAACAGTTTCAGCACATGCATAATGGTGAAGGCCCTTCATTATCCTACAGATTTGAACTTGCAAGTTAATATATCCCTGATGGAATTCTATAACAATTTTTTTACCAATCACATCTATTGTTTATTTAAATATCAAACAGACGTTTACTCTGCTCAGGTGATAAGCCTAACTAATCTATCATATAGTCTATATTCCACAAGTTTAGGCACCGCATCCATGATTCAAGTATATAGTACATTTAAATCATACAATCATCACTTCTCAAAGGACCACAACCATTCCATCTTCTGCCAACTTCCCCAACCACCACTAGACTTTCTTATGCCCAAATTTTTCTAATTTTTTTTTATGGGATGTCCAAATTTTCTATCTTTTCAACTATTCAAGATCAAAATTGCTTTTACTTGTAGCCAGTTAACTCCACAAACTTGTAGCCAATTAACTCCACAAACTTCAAACTCAGCAACCTAAATCACAAACTCCACTCTGCAATCAGAAACTTACATAGGTTCTATAAAAAAAAAAAAAAAAACCTTCTCCTAACTGTGCAAAGTTCCAATACACATTTGCTACCCACCAAGGATCAAGCAATCGTCGATTTGTCAAAACAGAATCCAAATTCACTCTAAAATGAGCTAAATCAACATTATTTCGTAGTATATTTAACATTTCAAATATGGTACTTTGATTTACCTAATATGGAATTTATGAATTCAACATCAAATCAGTAAAATGAAACCAACAACATTTCTAATTCAAAACAAAATCCATCAAAAATCAACCATAAACTTCAAAATCTACCTAACAAAATCAAGATTAATTCCTCAAAACTCAACAAATAAAAATCAATCACCTGATCCACCCCAGAAGGAAGAGGCTGAGCAACAAAAGTAGGGATCTCATCCATATACTCATCCCGGTGACCCGAATGCAAAATCCGGGTAAACCCACCCATCTCAGAATTGGGTTGATTCTGAAACTTCTTGAACCAATAATACATGACTCTACATTGCCAAGTATTGTACACAGAATCCGAGGCAGTAACAGCAGTATGAAAGAGCCTTTTTTGAGATGAACCCAGTTTCAATTTGCGATCAATAGGGAGTTTGATAACCGGGTCAAGTGAAGATGGGTTATCGGGTCCTGGGAAATCAAGCTTTAAGGGTGCATTTGCAGAGATTATGACATTGTAGGTGATTAGAGCTGTTGAAAATGTAATTAGAAGGGTTTTGAAGAACACCCCAAAACCCATTCTTGTTATTTTTTTCTTCTTCTGAGTTCTTCACTCTGTAAATGATGAAATTTGGGGAAGAGGAGAGAGAAGAGAGGTTGACGATGACTCTTTTTTTCCAAACTTCGTTTCTATTACGGAGTTGTACTATTTACAAGTATATGTGCATTCAATACTTCGTACAGTATTTTTTTAGGCGTTGAATAATGTTACTTAAGTTCAATTAATAATAGTTCCCTCAAAAAAAAAAAAAAAAAGTTCAATTAATAGAATATTTTAATATGGGTAATGATATACTCAACTTAACTTCCTTTTTTAGTACTATTAATTTGGAAATTTATCGATAATTTACAAGTAAATCGGTGTAATAAATTTGGCTATGATATTCCTTCTAAACATGAATAACCTATCCAAAAAAGAAACCATATAACATGTCAATATAATATTGTATATGGAAATAGTATGCTACATTGTATTTTTCTATGGGAAAATGAAAAACTCTCTAGTATGTTTTCAAATCAAACATTTTAATCTCTCTTAAGATGAAGATTGGGAGGATGACTTGAGTTTTCCAAATACTAATCTTCCTACCTAATATACTCATTCAACATTTATAGATGGACGTTTTTGCATATGTCTTAAAACTAAGGGTTATATTGATGTATGGAGCATGAAAGAATATAGGATCAAAGAATCATGGACAAAAGTATCACGTGTTCCAAATTTCTATGTAGTATCTAATAAAATGACATGATTTGATCCTGTTGCTTATTCGAGAAGATCTCCGGGGGTTTTAATCTTCTACAACAATAAATAAGTTGATACTAAACATGGTAACTATGTTAGTTTGGTTATATATTCTAGTCTTATTTGATATGATCCGAAATATGAAATTGTGGAGTCGAATGAACTTGCCATCGCAAGCTATGTTGATGGCAGTGTATTAGTTTGTGTAGAAAGCCTTATTTCTATTCCAGGGAGCTCCCAAATGAGGAGCAAGCTCGAGCCACCAATATATATTTTACGAAGACGTAGTATAATTAAAGGAATTGCACACTATGGACTAAGGTGTAGTATTTTCTTCTATAAGTTTGACGGAATATAATCAAGTTATAGTGTGCGATATTTATATATCTCTAACTTTCTTTCATCTAGACTTGGATTAATTGGATATGTATTTATGTATACATGGACGAGCATAGTATCGAGTAAGTTGTATGGTAAATTGGTAATATATACGTAGTAGGCTATTAGCTATGTAATTCTTATCGTGCATTATATTTTTTTGTATGTACTTGAAGAATTTCACTCTCAACCTCTAAAGTGAGCCTATATTTGGATATAAAGAAATTGGTCTACAGAAATTGGGGAGACGGTCGAAATTATAACTTGTTGGCAGTATAATATGAAAAAACCTACTTAGCAAATTAGAATTTGATAAATTAAGAATAATATCATTAAAAAAAAAAAAAATGGTATACATAGCCCTTAAAACTACATATACACATTAAATTTATACTTAAAAATCTTAATAAAAATTATAAAAATATAAACACTAATACACTTATATGATTTATGCGTGTTAGTTACTCATGATATATTTTGTAAAAAAAAATCTCTTTTCATAACTATAGTTTCTCTGAGCTAGTTACTCTAGATGAAAAATCAAATTTCTTTTACTATATTTTATTGTTTTTTGTTAATGGAAAGTATAATGTCATGTACAAGTTTATACCTTTAAGATTGTATTTATATTTTTTTTTTTAAAAATAAAATAATAATGATGATGTAGATATCGTATTATTTGTGCCGTAAGAAATCAAATGGCCCAATGCGAATAATGATTTCTTAACAAAGCCAAATTATGAAAAATGACTTCTTAATAAAAGCCCAATTACGGCACTTAGCCCATGAATAAGTCATAAAATCCTTAACATAAAGGCCGTTCATTTATTCCTCATTTGATTGGAGATCATAAATCGTGGAAAAAGGTTATGAATATCTAAATCGGCAAATCCCAATAGTTGGACCGTTGGGGTTATTAAAGTGTATTTTCCCTATAATATTTTTTATGTGTTCTACTATTAAATTTTGAACTCTTCACCACAAGGTCATCCGAATAAAGTCTTTCTTTGAAATTCATTATTAGGGTAATGAATAATTTGTGACATGTAAACTACTTCCTCCATTTTGTAATACTCGCAACACTTTTTTTATACATTCATTTCATATTAATTGCAATACTTAATCTATTATATTATTAAAATCCAGGGGATTAACATGTTGATAACATGTGTCATATTTTGTCATCATAACATTTATGACATATCGCCACATAGATGATGGCATGACAACACATTATTATTTGGATTAGATTTGAACCATTACATCCCTTGAAATTCCCAACTTTTCATTACCACTATTCCGCAATTGATGTCACTTTATAACTTAATTGATATTCATATATGTATTGTAACTTTTTTTATTAAGCATTATATGTAATTCATGCTTAATTGTCAAACAAATACTATTGCAACTCTTTTTGTATCCCCAACTAATTTTATCATTTTTATTTTATTATTTAAGCTTATGGTATTGGTTTCAAAATATTATTTAAATTCAAGGTAATTTTTTCATTTTGTATTTAAACATAATTCGGGACATCGTCCGGGCCCCAAACTAGTTATTTGGTAAAGACCCACTATTATTTTATAGTTCTCTCTCCTACTAATCCCAATTAGGCTCTACTCACTTCATCTTGATTTTTGAATTGTTAAACTGAAATTAATTTACTAATTATTTTCATTGATTCTCTATTATGTTTGTTTATTAAAGTCAAAATTTCTTATATTTGTTTTTAAGACTAATCATATAAATAAAATAAAAATCCTTTGCACTTCCTCCTTTTTTTTTAGATGCACCGTTTTAGAATTCACATACTACATACTACGCAATTTTATGGAGATGAAAGATCGAGAGAGAAAAAAGAGGACTCATGTGATATGAGAGAGGTAGAGAGAATTTATTAGTCAAAAAGAAAGTAATGTATCTAAATTAAAACTTACATATATAAAAATTTATCAATCTAGAAATATCAATTTTCTTTTGAAACATAAACTGGGTGTCCTTATAGTCTTATACAGCTCTAGCAAGCTACTGATAGCCCCACTCAATGAGATTGGCCTAACTTGGCCCTATTACCCACCATTACTCTCACAAAATACTTCATTTTCATATATATCATATAATCTCATGTCATATTCCAGTTATGATATTTAATTCATGATATTCTAATTAAAATTATCTCTTATAGATATTAATTAGAGTAAAGACTAGTCAAAATCAAATTACATTTCCAAAAGTGACACAAAAACCTCCCTTTTCATGTATATGAACCATATGTGCAAAATAGGTTCACATTTACATTTGATGATGTATGTGTGGTTCATCAACTTTACACGAAATATGGATAATTCCACCAATCAAGTCAACTTCAGCTGGCTAACTGTGGCCTTTTTAAGCTTTAACTTTCTTCATGAAATTTATGTCGTGTAAAGTAGTAAAGATGACCTTATCTTATACTATAATTTATGTAACACAAATATATTAGCTGTAATATAAAAAGTAAAATTGGACCAATTTTGATTTGCTTTAATTTGGTGACGATGATATAGGGCTACATATAGCTGTAGAATCACTTTGACTCTCCTTGATTCGATTTGGAGCCGACCTCTAAAAGTTCTATGACTTGTGCTTATGCATTTGGTTTTACTCATTTCAAATAAAATCGTCATCTTATCTATTTTTGCTCGACATAAGACATCACTAATTTGGTTTTGATGTCTCCCCCAAAAAGGAAGAAAGAAACATGCATGAGGCATGGCATGAGCCTTATAGACTTATAGTTTCTTGATGATTCATCGTTGCACGGTTAAGCATGTTTAGACGAAAATACTTTATTTTGATCGAATTGAGCTAAAAGACTTATGCTGGTTGGGCAAATTGTTCCATAAAAAAGGAACATCTCAAATTACTCACTACAAGAAGGTGTTCAGGAAGTACATATATAAGCACGTACTCTTACGTTTGTATGTTTTGTTACACGTAAAGGCCCCGTGAAAACTTATAGCCAATTTAGGAGGCGTGTACAAAAATCGATAAATTGAATGTTTAAAGGCAAATCGGAGGGTTCCACCAACCCAATTAAACTCTCAGAGGGTATTAGGGTTCCACCAACCATAGTAAACATCTCGGAAATTTTTATTTCCAGGAGAAATAAAGTCAAAAAATTTAAAAATTGAAGACTAATATCCACGTTTTTTTTAGAAATTTTGTAGGTTTCGTGGCCCGGTGTCAAAAAGTCTTGAAATTCAAGGGGATACATCTCGGGGTCATATAATGCCGTTTGAAACCATATATGATCATTATTTGTTGTCATAAATGTTCGTGGTAGACTTGATTAATGAAATCGGTGCAAGTCGTAAATTGGTAAATTGGCCGTTTAAAGGCAAATTGGATGGTTCCACCCACTCAATTGGACTCCCAAAGAGTATTACGGACCATGGTAAACATTTCGGCAATTTTTATTTTCGGGCGAAAAAAAGTCAAAAAAATTACAAAATTAAAGGCTAATATCCACGCTTTTTGAGAAATTTTATAGCTTTCGGAAAAAGGTGTCGAAAAGTCTTGAAATTTTAGGGAATACATCTCGGGGTCATATAATGTTGTTTGGAACCTAATATGATCATTATATGTTGTCATAATATCCGTGGCAGACTTGATTTAATGAAATCGGTGCAAGTTGTAAACCAGTAAATTGGTCGTTTGAAGGCAAATTAGATGGTTCTTCACACCCAGTTGGAATCCCGAAGGATATTAGGGACCATGGTAAATATTTCGGCAATTTTTATTTTCGGGTGAAAAAACTAAAAAAAAAATCCAAAATTAAAGGCTAATATCCACGCTTTTTGAGAAAATTTTTATAGGTTACGAGGCCCGGTGTCAAAAAGTCTTGAAATTTTAGGGGATACATGTCGGGGTCATATAATGTTGTTTGGAACCATTTATGATCATTATTTGTTGTCATAAATGTTCGTGGTAGGCTTGAGTTAATGAAATCGGTGCAACTTGTAAACCGGTAAATTGGTCGTTTAAAGGCAAATTAGATGGTTCTTCCCACCCAATTGGATTCCCAAAGGATATTAGGGACCGTGGTAAACATTTCGCCAATTTTTA